CTGGGTGGCTAAGTTGGTTAAGCATCCAACTTCAGCTCAGGTCATGATCTCACGGTTCATGAGTTCAAGCACTGTGTCGGGCTCTGGGCTGACAACTCAGAGCCTGGAGCCTGCTTTGGATTCTGTGCCTCCCTCTCTCTCTGCCCCTCCCTGCCCCCCTTGCTCTCTCTCAAAAATAAACATTAAAAAAACAAAACAATCAAAAAAACCTCTGTTACTCTTTTCCAACCAGCCCTTCAAAGAGCTCTCTCAACTGACCTTTCCAGCCAGTTTCGTTGAGTGCTGCTAGTCCTGTCTGCAGTTCCTTAGTTCATATGCAGTCTTCACCATTACATTATAGATGACCAGTGACCTACCTCCATGTTGCTAAATTCCCAGGCTATTTTTCATCAACATCTGACATAATTAATCTCTTTCCCTCCTTGAAATACACTCCTCTCTCAGCTTTTGTGATAATGCACACACCTTGCTGTCTTACTTTACTGAAATTCTGGATTTCCTCAAGTTTGGTCCAAGACCCTTTTGTCTTATTCTTCCTCCGAATAAAGCTCATCCATGGTTTCAAACACAATATTATATGCTGATGGAGCTCAAATTTCTATCTCTAGCACAAAACTCTCCCCCGAGCTTAAGACCAATATATCCGACATCATATTCAACACCTCCTTTTGGGATAGAGCAAATTCAGAATGACCTAACTTGCTTCTCTGCCAGCGTCTTAGCTTGGTGAAGAACACAGTAACCCACCTTGTTGTGCTGGCCAGAAATCTGGGACTCTAGCTTGATATTTCCCCTCTGCCCCTCCATACAAGTCAATCACCTCCAAGTGGTGGACCATTTCCAGGGCCACAACCCCAGGTCAAGCTACTGTCATCTTTCTTCTCTAAGAACTTCAAAATTGGTCTCCTTACATCCACTATTACTCCCCGTCCCCAAACCGTTTTCCAAAATATAGCCAGTGATCTTAAAGTACAAATTTGGTCATGACACTTTCCTGTTTAAAATCCATTTCCACTGCTCATCAGATGGGTAAACCCTGGCCCCTGCCGACCATACTTGCCTCCCATACCTCACCAGTCTCTTTATAAAAGCTATACTGCCTTTCTCTCGGCTCCTAAACTATGTTCTGCCCCTTCCAATCTCAGGATCCCCTTGACCTGAAAAGCCTGTACCAACTGGTTAATTCTTCTTCCTCCTCCAGAGTTCATTCAAACTCACTTCCACAAGGAATCTTTCCTGTCAGCATCAACAGAGTCTGGTCCCCTGGTGTAAATTCTCATAAAAGCTATTCTATTCTTCTCCATTACAGTACTTGTCACACTAGGCAACTGTTTGGCATCTGTCTTCCCCACACTAGAATGAAGCCTGTCTTCTTAATCTTTCTATCTCTAGTACTGAACAAAGTGCTCTGCATATAGGAGCCTGCCAGGCTCAAAAGAATGATAGCATAATGTAATTCTCAATCTATTATTTGTTTCAAAATACTCGATTTCACAGTTAATTGTGAAATTCGTCAAAGGACTCAGATTCTTATCCAACTCACCGTAACTTCATACCTTCTATTTAGATAAAGATTTATGTAACTTTTTTTCAAGTTATGACTAGAAACTGTCTTGATCTTCAAAAACCATTCACTTAGATCAAGTTGGCACTGTAAATATTTTAAGTTCCGTGGGTATTACAATTTCTGTCAAAACCACTGAACGCTGCCACTGAAGCACGAAAGCAGACATAAACAACACATAAATGAATGAGTATGGGTGTGTTCCAACCACACTTTCTTTACAAAAACAGGCGTCGGGTCAGATACGGCCTGCGGACTAGAGCGTGCTGGCCTTTGACTTAAATTCAGACTCCGACAAAGTCAATGCAAAACATAACAGAAACAATTACCTGGGTTAGTAGGTGAAAACTGGCTAAACGTACTTTTCCTTTGCTGTGACAGCACCACAACGCACAAGCAAGCTGCCATGCTTGTCTCTGAAAATCTGACACATGAATCATAACACTGTTCTCTTTGGGGAGTTGCCCTTTTGCGAATTACTCAAATAAAATATCCTAAAACACTGGAAACTACTGCAGAAGGGACATTACCTGTCTGAATAAAAATTATGACTCCTGTCAATTACATGTTATCTGCCTTGAGATAAAAAAATAATCATTAAAAAAAATCAAAATTCATGGTCTATGAGGCCTCATATATATATATATATAAATATGTATTAATATATCAAAATTCAATAAACAAAATGCTATGTATAAAACAACTACACTAAACACAGAGTGAGAAAAATCTTGGAGCAGTAGATAGCACTTTGAGAAAATTTCATTTTAAACCCCAAAGAACCTAGTATAGCACTAGGTGCTTGATAAACCAAATTTTCCTGAACAAATGAACAACAAACTCTAAAGATCTCAAAAAAAAAAAAAAAATTACAATTCATTTAAAATGTAGCAAATGAAAAGCAAACTGGCATTCATTTTGATATGATAGGGATTTCTAAGCCCCCAAAATAATGATGATAGAACACCAGCCATGTGAGACAGCTGACATCTATTCATTACTCATCCAACAAAGTATGGTTCTTACTACTTTCTCTAACCCTTCTCCCAAGCAAACAATGTAAAATCCTCCACCAAATCAACAACCTCAAAAAGGCAATGTGAACTACCCATCCCCCAAAACTCCGTTCCGTAACATAGTTTCAAAAGCTGCTTAGCTTTCGGAAACACATTTGTTTCAAGTAATAGAGTTTCACAGGTTAGTTTTCTGATGCTTTCCCTGCAACGTTCCTAGAAGTATACTGTGGGTATTTTATTTTCCCTTTAGTCCTTTTGTCTCCTTGGGGTTTCACCCATCAGCCAATTTTCTTTCTAAAAAAAAGAAAAAATCACTGTCGTGGTATAATGGAAAGCAAGTCTCATGCTTTATAGTGGAAGAAAATAAGATACACAAAGAAATCCGAATTTAGCTGAAACTGACCACAATTACATATTTTGTTTTGATAGAATTAATACCATGACAAATATTTAAAAAGATTTCCATTACTTACTAAGTTGGGATATACACTTGTTTCAGTTTACTCTCAGCTTCTGCTGCCTTTAGACGTTTCTAATTCAAAAGACAGATAAAATATTTTACGTACAAGGCTAATAATTATTGCCACTTCATTGTCTTAGAAAATTCACATGCAAATGAAATATTCAAACACCATTCGCACAAATTGCCATTTTAAGAAGGGCCTTTCCCTTCCTGTGCACATTAAACTGCAGTGTTCTGTAAGACAACTGACTAGATTCTGAGGTACAGACTGCAAGTATTAATAACATTTGAGACATAGGTTTTAAAAATAAAGCTGTAAACAAGTGAAGTTTCCACTGCTCCCTGAGTGAGTAAACAGGGCTCACAAGTAACCATTTTTACTTTTCAAATTTAGTTTCTACTTTCTTTACAGCCCTTCTGGGAGAAACACACACACTCTGCTTAAAAAAAATTTTTTTTTTTGAAAAATGATTAGTTTCCAAGGTCCATGCAAAAGAAAGAGACAACTCTCCCAAGTACAATTAAATAAACATTTATCCTCAAATGTTAAGAGATACACAATAAACTTTAAAGCTGGCTGAACTCACATCAGATTTTAAAAGCCAAATGTAGGTAAAGGAACAGGGGAAAGATTACGTAATCATTTCTAGAAAATGATCAACACAGTAAATGAATATAAGCAAGGAAGGAAAAAAAATACATGTTGTAGATATCCAAAAAGAAGACAAAACAGAATGTAAGGCATTCATCCACTTTCTCAATGAGAAAAAAAAAAAACATTTAAGGCGACAACTTAAAATTTTTAGAGACAGAGTAGAAATTTTTGGAAATAATTTAATTCAAAAACCACTTTTCAACCACTCATGATGCCATCATCTCCACCACCTTTAAGGGACTTTTTTTGCCCTGAAAAATTCAAGTTTCCAGAGCACATGGTCTTCACTTCTACCTATGTTGTTTAAAATAAGCACTTTTGTATTATGATGTTGACACCAGAAATTTTTCAATTAAGCCATGGGTATCTCTTCATTATTCATGACCTTGACAACTCGCTATGGTCATTTAGTATCCAACACTTGTCACTGTGTGATCACATAACTTAGGGAAAATGATGTCTGTGTTAAATATATTTGCTCCTTTCTTTACCACCTCTAACCTATGACTAGAAGAATCTAAAAACAAGTATTGACTGAAGTCACTAAGGAAAATGTACCTTTCCCCCAAAGTAATAGTACTCAAAATAAGTAATTTAGAGATTTACCTCAACTTGGAACATTAAGGAAAGACTCAAATTAAAAGATTCCTTGCTTTTAGAAATAATTTTGGAGAAAAACTTATGCACACTACCAGACCATCAAACTAGTAAGACTAACAGTTAAGGTCAAAGATGTATATATGACACAAATGTCAACTAAGGAGGTTTTCAGAAGATCTTTTAAAATATCTCAAACTGGGAGCACCTGGGTGGCTCAGTCGGTTAAGCATCCGACTTCAGCTCAGGTCATGATCTCACAGTGAGTTTGAGCCCCGCATCAGGCTCTGTGCTGACAGCTCAGAGCCTGGAGCCCGCTTCAGATTCTGTGTCTCCTCCTCTCTCTGCCCTTCCCCAGCTCATGCTCTGTCTCTCTCTGTCTCAAAAAGAAATAAAAACACACACAAAAATTTTTTTTTAAATATATCAAACTATATGGTTGATGGCTTTGGTCTGAATTTCTAATACTTCATAAAATGACCTCACATCTTAGGCCATTCCTATCAACTATACTCAGAAAGAGACAAAGCACCAGGCACCTGCAAGGATAATACTGCCTCTCTAGTGGTTATGTCCCCTTGTCATCCTTCCAAAATATTTATCATAGTGACTTTGAAGTCAGAAAATACTAGAACTAAAATCTTAAAACAACATCTTAAGGATGTTAAAAACAGTATAGAAAAGAGAAAGCCAACAAATTTAAAATTAAGTGTATTGCTAAGAAATACTAAGATATAAAAAGAAAGCTCACTTTAATGCAATAGTATTGGTAGCAGTATGAAGAAAATTACCTGCTGCACATATCGGTCAGTAGTTTTCCACATGTAATAATATTCAATGATGCTAGTCAATGATTTCCAAGGGAGCTGAAAAAATATTTAACATGATAATGAAAACAAGGCATTACTGTAGGAACGGCTTTCTTTTTTAAGTCACGTTTTAAAAAATAATGAGGCAAATATCCACACGGAAGATTCACTCTAGGAGAAGTATTTGAGAAAACTAAAGTTAATTCTTAGCAAAGTGTACCCCAAACAAGTTACATTCAGTCAGAGACTCTAAAACAACACAGTCTATTTCTCAGCTCCCATTTTGTTACAGATGATAAACATTATGACTGATAATATTTCAGGACCTATTCAGGAAAGTTATTCTCAGGCTACAGGTGGCACTGAAGTAGTACAATGTTTAGAAATGACATTTATATAGATTTAGCCCAAGTTACTTTAACTTCCAAAGATGCCAGCTACAACTGGGTGTCGTTTGGTCTCTGCAGTAACCGTTCTCATCTTTTCCAAAACTGCTTTATTTTCACCTATTTTGTTATAAATAAAATAAAACCTAAGCCTCTGAAAGAGTACACAGTTGAATGTAGTCTTGCATTTGAAAAACAGGAAGGTTACCCTTTGCTATTTTCCATAATTATTCAAAACTGGCCAAATGAGCGCCCACTAAGGAGACCCACAACCAAAGAATATATTCAGGAATATGTCAGTATATTCCCTCTGTAAAGGGAAATCTGTCAGTCATCCCAGATGCACATCGGAATAGATCAAACCTTCAAGCGAATGACTGTCAACGGTCACAGTTTGTAGCGGTTGCATCAGATTCTACAGATAGGTGACTCAGCACTCTCTCTGACTTCTAGCTAACTTGCCCTAATGCACCATCGGGATTAGAGAATCAAAACAGTACTTCCCAGACCCCACTGCAGCTAGAGGTCTGCTTGAAATCCATGTGTACAATATCCACACTATTCTTTAATCACCTCAACATTTCACTCACCTGTTTGCTATGAAAAGAAAACAGATGGGAGTTTTGAGAAAGGAAATTATTTTAAGCTTAACTAGGTAGCAACTCCAACAGCAGTTACGAATGTGGTCTCTTTAAAGGACCAAATCAGCACAGCCACTGGCATGTGCGTTGCAGCTAAAGCAAACAGTTTTCTACAACCCAACAAGCAATCTAATGGGAGTTGAAAGTGTCTGAGGGATGGGGTAAGGAGCCCATGGCAAGACCTCACATGGCAAGACCTCACAAGGCAAGACCTCAGAGAACAGTCACGGGCACAGTCCCCTAGGGCTTCAAGCAAGCTAAGACATCTTCATCTGCTAACTATTCTTCACCTGAGAAACACCCCTGGCGTTCATTTATTTACCTGGAAGCCTGAGAAAAGGAAACCAAGTGACTATGTAACCTGAGCTTCATCATCAGCCAGATTTTATCTGAGCCATCAAGTCCTAATCAGCTATGCTCAGCACCACCACTCTCTTATCAAGAAGTATAGTCCTGAAGGCACAAATGACATGTCCCAGTGTGTCTACTCCTGTTGCAGTATCATTTCTCCCTCAACCCTCATGGCTCCACAGAAGTTCCCTATGACCTGTCAAGTGAGAAGGAAAAAAATCTGAATGTGGCAGATGGCTTTGCATGATATACTGGCATGAGCCAGAATTCTGCTGCAGCATTTTGGCCCCGAGCAGGGGTGGCTCTAAAGCACAGTGAAGAAGAAAGATCCTTTAAAAGGGCAGGGCATTAGAGTCACCATCTGGTTTCCTAGTCTGAGTTGAAGGAAAGCTGGCCAGAGGTACTAATCCATACCCACTCAGAGAGAGTGGTTATCTACCTGTCACAATGATCAGGGAGGGACTTGAAAGGAAGCAGATTAGAAAGTTGGTAACAATGAGGCTTAGGAAAGAGGTTTGTGGGACAGACACTTCTTGATGGGCCTAAGTGTGAGGATCTTTATATCCCCATGTTTATCAAAGGCTCCTTCTGGAGAGGAGGGTCTCTTATATCAAGAGGGCAAGATGATCTCTAGGGTTATCAGCCAGCCTCTTTCCCTAGCCACAACAATGATTGTTCAAAGGACACATCAATAAAATGGACACAGAGGCAAGCAGATTACATATGGGTACCCCCACATGGACATCCTCTCACCAAATCTGATCTGATTACTCCAGGTGTCCAATCTGCAAGGAACAATGCACACTGGGCTTCCAACATGGCACCATTCCTGGTAACATGTCAGTTACATTAGTCTCTCAGCATCCTGGAATGAACAGACATCTTGTTCTTGTTTAATAGACAATTATTCTAAATATGATTTGCCTTTTCTGCCTGTAATGCATTGGCTAGCAATACCAACCACGGACTAATGAATGACTTATTCTCACAAAACAGCTTCTAACTCAGGGCTCAGAACCCTCAGGAATAAAGGTTTGGGTTATGCTACCAAGTTGAGAACTCTGGTCATCAAAGGTACTAAGGAGAGAACATTGGGGGAATTTGATTTTGAATGCCAATGAAGGCCTCAGGATGAGTTTCAGAAAAGAGAAAGGAAGACTAAAGAAGCTTTCTATATTTCCTTCCCTGTTTATCAGAATTATTTTCCTTCAGCCACCCAATTCCTTTTTTTTTTTTTTAAGAGAGTGAACGAGTTGGGGATGAGGGGCAGAGGGATGAAGAGAGAGGGAGAGGGAGGGAGAATCCCAAGCAGGCCCTAAGCTAGATAATGTCATTCCCACCTTAACAATGAGAAGAAAACACCCAGATAACCTACAAAACCATACCGATTCTTGAACTAATGTTACAAGACAATCAACTGAACTGGATTCCAAAGTCACTCAGTACTCAAAGACTAGACTCATGAGCTACTTTTACTTTGGCAAAGCACCAATAAATAAATAAATAAAGATAACAAATAAAAACAAAGTAAGAAGAAAACAGCCAAAAATTTACCAAATTATTAAAGGTCAACAGTGAGCTAGCACAACTGTTGTAGCATCTATGGGATCTCTAGACACTAGGGGAATCCATCCACATTTGCCACGGGTCTCCATCAGGTGTTCATCAGAAAGATCTGGGCCAGAGCAGGAAACCTGAGAAAGCCCCTGTTGGTGGTGATGTAATTTGCACTTGATCTTAGCTAAAAGGCCGAGAAGTGGTGGTGGTGATGTAATTTGAATCTACACAAATAAATGAAGAGGAGCAGAAGTGATAACATTTTTAAAAATAAATAACAATACATAAATAAACATGGGGGAAAATATTTTTAAAAATCTCTTTAAAAAGATCACTGTCTAGGGGCGCCTGGGTGGCTTGGTCGGTTAAGCGTCCGACTTCGGCTCCAGTCATGATCTCACGGTCCGTGAGTTCAAGCCCCACGTCGGGCTCTGTGCTGACAGCTCAGAGCCTGGAGCCTGTTTCAGATTTTGTGTCTCCCTCTCTCTCTGCTCCTCCCCTGTTCATGCTCTGTCTCTCTCTGTCTCAAAAATAAATAAACGTTAAAAAAAAAAGATCACTGTCTAAAGCCAAAAAAGTTATAATTCCCTGTGGGATTTAGAACATAGCCAGAATTATATATGACAAAAAAAGCACAAGAATGGGAGGGAGGAACTGGAAATATATTGTCACATGGTTCTTCTTCTTCTTTTTTGTTTTAAGTAAGCTCTACACCCAATATGGGTCTTGGGGCTTGAACTCACAACCTAGAGATTAAGAGTCACATGCTCTATGGATGGAACCAACCAGGCATCCCAATCACATGGTTCTTATAATCTATGTGACCTAAGTGAGTTTGATTGAAGATAGACTGTAGGACATTAAAGATGTATACTGTAAACCACTACAAAAATAAAAGCTTAATTGGTAGGTTACTAGTAGAAATAAAACTAGAATAAAAAAATTAATTTAAGGGGCACCAGGGTGGCTCAGTGGGTTAGGCATCCAACTTCACCTTAGGTCACGATCTCACAGTTGGTGGGTTCTAGCCCTGTGTCAGGCTCTGTGCTGACAGCTCAGAGCCTGGAGTCTGCTTCGAATTCTGTGTCTCTCTCTCTATTTCTGTCCTTCCCCCAACTGTGTTCTGTCTCTCAAAAACAAACATAAAAAAAATTTTTTTTAATTAATTTTAAAAAGGGGAAAAGAACAAAGAACAATGGGACAAATGGAAAATTAATGGGAAGATGACTGGTTTAAACCAAAACTTGTAATATTGATAATTACATTAAAGGTAAATGGTCTAAACAATCCAAGTAAAAGGTAAAGACTGTTAGACTGGTTTAAAAAAAAAAAAAAAAGATCCTATTGTATTCAGTCTACAAAAAGCCCACTTCGAACATAAGTAAGACACAAATAAAGTGATGGAAACAAGATATACCATGTAATCAATAGAATAAAGCTGGAGTGGTTATATTAACAGACCTCACCATAAGGAATATTACCATGGATAAAGAGGCATGATGTAAAGACAAAAGGGTCAATTCCTTATGAGAACATAACAGTCCTAAATGTATGTACCTAATAACAGAGATTCAACATAATTAAAGCAAAAACCTATTGTAACTGAAAAGAAAAACAGAAAAATTCACAATCATAGCTAGAGGCTTTCAATACTACTCTCTCAACAGAACAGGTAGACAGAAAATCAGTAAGGCTCCAGAAGACTTGAACACCATCAATAAATCTGACCTAAGTAGCATTTATAGAACATTCCACCAAATAGCAAAATATCTCTTCTTTTCAAGAGCACATGGAACATTCACCATAGTAAGACCATATACAGGATGAGAATCACATCTCAAAAATGTAAAATTTGATTTTTTTTACAAAGTTTACAAACTTTTTTTTACAAAGTTTTCTGATCACAACAGAATTAAACTAGACTTCAGTAACAAAAATATGTGAAAAAGATGCAAATACGTGGAACTTACCTCTAAATAATCCATGAGCTAAAGAAGAAAATCAGAAAGAAAAACAAAAAATACTGATGCAATGAAAATGAAAACACAACTTATCAAAACGTGGAGACAGGCCCTGTAGTAGTTGGGCCTGCTGATGTTGACACAGGAGCACTGAAGAAACCCTCCCACATTCCAGGCCCCACATTAACCATAGGTAAGAATTTGATGTCTGTGAATGTTCAGATCACCTCCTATTTATTGCTTCAGTGAGGGGAGGAACCTGCCCCTCAAAACAGTATCAGACGGCCAGGACGTACAACACACGACACTGAAGACAAAACAGAGGAGTCTGACTGGTTTATTAGTCACAGATACTCACAGCCCAGGGGAAGATGACACCATGTAGGGCCACAGCGAGTCACTAGGGGCTGTGGAAGTGAGGTTCTGTGTAACAAGAGGGTGAGGTGTGCCCTGGTTCTGGAAAGAGTTCCCAGGGGAAGATGTGACTGGCCTGTCTCAGTAATTCTGCAGGCTAGCAGGGAAGTGAAACCCATGAGGTTGAAGGCTGCGGGGGAGCTAGAACTGGGCAGGTGGGAAGTCTTTCCTGCTGGTGAAGGATATATTTGGCAAAAGGAGTGGAACTCACAGTGAAGTTTTTGTGGCCCAGTGAGGCTCAAAGATATCAAGGCAGCACATGAAATTTTTGGTTAGGCCTTCCAATACAGCAGTACCCTGAAGGTAAACAGAACAACAACCAAATCCAAACCTGGTCCAACTACAGATTAGATTAATATATTAAAGGATTGGGTTAAAAAGGTAAGACAGCACACATGAATAGATAGGGATTTAAACAGAGAAAAGCATAAAAAAGAAAACATAAATGTTAGCAAAATATGCTAACATATTTGAAGAATTCCTTTAAGAAGTTTATCAGTATACTGGACATGGCAGAGAAAATTAGTGCACTGAAAAATAGATCAATCTAAATTATAAACTATACAAACTAATACACAAACAGTAAACTTTAGTTCTCAGACATTCATTAAAATAATTACAAAGAAAAATATACCCAGGTGCATTGTAGTAATAAAACTGCTATTAAACAAACAAACTAACAAAGAAACAAACAAAACCCCAAACTGAAGGTAAAGACAAAATCTTGAGCACAAAGAAAAAGAAACATTCACATACATAAGAACTTCTCATCAGAAACTATGTAAGCCAGATAGAGATACACCTTTAGAGCACTGAAAGAGAAAAAGAAAAAAAATGAATTCTACAAAGAATACCATTTTTGGGGTGCCTGGGTGGCTCAGTCGGTTAAGCATTCGACTTTGGCTCAGGTCATGATTTCACAGTTTTTGAGTTTGAGCCCCACGTCGGGCTCCGCTGATAGCTCAGAGCCTGGAGCCTGCTTTGGATTCTGTGTCTCCCTCTCTCTCTCTGCCCCTCTCCTGCTCACACTCAGTCTCTCTCTCTCTCTCTCAAAAATAAACAAACATAAAAAAAAAAAAAGAAAAAGAATAACATTTTTGTTAAAGAGGACAGGAAGACAATTTTAAGATAAGGCTAAAATCACTGTCAGCTAAGTACACTCTCAACAAATGATTACAAGAAAAGTTTCAACCTTAAAAAGATACTAGGAAAAGACAAAGCACTTCAGCACAAAGCAAGCTGAAGAAAGGAAATGACAAACATAAAAGCGGAAGTTAATGAAACAAACAAACAAACAAACAACAACAAAAATCAAGCAAGCAAAAAACTGGTTCTTTGCAAAGGTCAAAAACATCGATTAAGTCCTTGCTGGACTGATTAGGAAAACTACCAGTATCAGGAATGTGAGGGGGCATCACTACAGATCCATCCCACAGATCTTCGAAGGATAATATGAAATTATGAACCACTTTAGAACAATAACCACTTTATAACATTCTATGACAGGAGATATCTGTCTTTGTATCCCACAGCTATGGACAATGAAAACAGCCCTGGGAGGATCAGAGTCAAATAAGAAGCTATGGCAACACAGTGGCGCAAAAGATGAAGAATAACCACACAAAAAGGATCACCAGGGAGGTAGGCTTAGCTGAGACACCTGGAACCGGCTAAAAACAAAGAAGAAGGGTAAAGGCTATCAGTGTAAGCGGGTGCCAGTGTGGTCCGCAGTGGCCCGCTCTGCAGAGGAGCCTGGCAGCCACTGCCACTGAGGATCTCGAGGACCTCAACAGCCTTCATGACAGCAGCAGACTCCCTGCCATGTGCACAGCTGAGGACTCTGTAGTATTTGTTGGCGTGGACTCCAGCAGCCTACTCTGCAGAGGAAACTGATGGCTTCTGCCACTGAGGTAACCAACAGATACTGACCTCCTAGGGAGGGAGATGCTGCTCCACCCCTCCCAGATGCTGCTGTGTCCCCACCCCAGGAACAGGGCTGCCAGCTCCCATCTCCAACCCTGTGCATATCTGGGACCCCAGAACTCTGGCCGCTCCACATGCACCCACACTTCAGACCTTGGTTCCATGGTGGTTCTGCATGTGTTCACCTCTCGGTCACTGACACTGCAGGCTAGCCAGCACACCAGACCCCCGGCTGCTGTCACTCTGGGAGCATACATGCTCCGCTCCTGGTTCTGACCCAAGCTGATCCAGACACCACTGCCATGGCAAAGGTATCCACTGCCAAGAGGGATCCCTTCGGCAATGACACACCCCACGGGGGAGAAAGAGATCAGGAGATCCCCAGCGGCCTTCACTGCCACTGCAGACACCCAGAGAATGGGCCATTGAGGACCCCTGAAATCTTTTTTTTTTTTTTTAATGTTTTATTTATTTTTGAGAGAGAGACAGAGCATGAACGGGGGAGGGTCAGAGAGAGAGGGAGACACAGAATCCGAAGCAGTCTCCAGGCTCTGAGCTGTCAGCACAGAGCCCAACACGGGGCTCAAACTCACGCACTGTGAGATCATGACCTGAGCTGAAGTCGGACGCTCAACTGACTGAGCCACTCAGGCGCCCCAAGGACCCCTGAAATCTTAACTGACAACTGACCTCAGCAGATGGAATTGAATGTACACTATGCTGATGGGCCTTCCCAAGAGCTGGAACCATCATACACAAGCTTCCCACACCCTTGTATCCACAGCAGGCGAAGGTCTCTCCCTCCCCACTAAAACCAGTCTGTAAAGTCTGGTAGAGGTGACTGATCAATCAAATGCACAAACATCAGCACAAAGCTATAAGAAATATGAAGTTAAGGAAGCATGACATCACCAAAGAAACAGTAATTTTCCAGCAACTGACCCCAAAGAAATGGAGAGCTATGATTTCCTGATAATAATTTCAAAATCATGGTTTTAAGGAAGCTCAGTGAGCTACAGGAAAATACAGATAGAACTGAAATCAGGAGATAGACCCCAATACCAGGAAAACAATACACGAAATAAGTTCAACAGAGAGAAAGAAATCCTAAAACAAACACAAGTTCTAAAACTGAAGAATACAATGAGAAATGTAATGTGGAACATCAATAATGAACATCTGTGAACTCAAAAACAGGTCATCAGAAATTATCCAGTCAGAGTGAAAAGAAGAAAAATGAAGGAAAAAGAGTATATCTAGTCAGTAGAAGGAAGGAAACAATAAAGGTCAAAGCAGAAATAAATGAAGTATAAACTAGAAAAACAAAAGATCAATGAAACTAAGAGTTCCTTTTTTGGAAAGATAAAACCAAACTGACAAATTTTAACGAGTCTAAAAAAAAAAAGAGAAGACTGAAATAAATAAAATCAGAAAGGAGAATCAGAGGAGACGTTGCACCTGATACTGCAGAAATAAGAAGGAATATAAGAGACTGCTATTCACAATTATACACCAACGAACTGGATAATCTAGAAAGGATAATTGTCCTAGGAAGTTATCAATGGACTTCTCAAATAGAAATTTCTCCATTTCAAAGAGATTAAAAGCTTAATTAAAGAGAGCAATTCCATACATACAAGGACAAAAGGAAGTACATAAAAGTAGACAAGATTATCTAGTATTTAAAATGCAAGTAAGAAACTATGTATCATTAAGAGGAGTCAAGGACAGAAAACCCATAAAGCAAATTTTCCATACTGCTTGCTACAGGTTGTTTCCATATTAAAGGGCCACATCAAACTCAGGCTCAACAATTAGTAAGATATCTAGAAAAATATAGAAGGTCCAAAGGAGAGCAACAAACTTAAAGCAGACCTCAGAAATATTTTGTGCAAATGGTTAGAAAAGCCATCCATATTTTAAACTTGGAACTCAGAGCCTCCTGATACCAGGTCTTATAATTGCTTCCCAGAACGAATGTCAATTTCTCTCTCTGTAAGACTAGCCTTCATTCTATGTTGAGTAGATAAACATTACTACGTTGCAAGCTTGCTAAATGAATACTTTAAGGTTTACCAGCTTTTTAACAAAGATAAAATATTCACATCCAACATTTTATGTGCAGTTTTCTACTTACAAAGTCTTGACGTATGTCATTGAAGTCTTTGCCATATTTTTCCAGTGCCTCTTCAAATAAACTAGCTTCAGAAGCTGACCACTCTTCCATTTCATCTCTGCATAAAACAGGCCCTCCAAGTGGTACTAAGACACTAATTGCACTGCTTAAATCATAGCTGTGCCTATACAATGTATCCATAGCATGAAACTAAAGAAAACAAAATGGAGAGAAAAGATCAGTCAGAAGTGCAAACTTGCCAGATTATTTAAGAACAGGAATACTAAAATGCATGATGCACTGAATTAACACTAATATACTTAGGTATATTTTTTAAGTAACAAAGGTTTATTTTATTTATTTTTTTTTTTAATTTTTTTTTTCAACATTTATTTATTTTTGGGACAGAGAGAGACAGAGCATGAACGGGGGAGGGGCAGAGAGAGAGGGAGACACAGAATTGGAAACAGGCTCCAGGCTCTGAGCCATCAGCCCAGAGCCCGACGCGGGGCTCGAACTCATGGAGCGCGAGATCGTGACCTGGCTGAAGTCGGACGCTTAACCGACTGCGCCACCCAGGCGCCCCGACAAAGGTTTATTTTTTAATAAGGTTTATTTTTTTTTTAGGTTTTTTAGGTTTATTTTTTAAGTAACAAAATTAAGAAAAAATTTAAAAAACAGATTACCTATTTAAAATGTCATTTACTGATTTAAGAAAATGTTGATTTATAAGGTGTGTATTTAAAAAACTGCATTCATTTGTTACAGTAACCTAACCATGAAAATCCAGGGCCTCCAGGCACAGGTATTAACTAAAAAGCCAGTAAGTTTCACCATCCTTTCAGTTAAAAGTGCCAGAATCACTTCACCTATTATATAGGGTTGTCACAGCCTTCCTTGACAAGGGAATAATAGATTATATATCAGACAGAGAAAAAATATTCCCAGGTTGGATTAAGACAATGATGCACTAAGAACGAGAGTTACAGAAAACAATGGAATTGAGAATCAGGGTGACAAAACAGAACTACACATCCATGTTACACAAACAAAACAAAACACATATCCATGTAAAAACAGTAACTGGTTGAGATCTTCTAAGACCAAAAACAGATGACTAGGCTTGCTTGAATCAGCTAGGCTGGCATGGATTTCCTACATATTTCAGGAGAGAATGATATAAAGAGTAATTTGAAGCGAGGAAAAGATAGATTAGGATAATATACCTGTTTTTTTGCAAAAGTACCTTGGGTCTGGCTTATTTAAAACACATTCTTCTTCCCATCAGAAGCTGTGAAGAAACTTAGGTTCCAAAACTTTAAAGTTTGAAAAGCCTGTGATGGTATTTCTACTGGAGAACCAGAAATTCATTCATAACATATACGCACATTTGTATATGTGGAAGGAAAACTGCAGAACAGGGTGACTGGCTCTGCTGTGTCTGGATAAGCATGTAGGTGTGGCCCAGAATTGGTCGGCAAGGTGACCAAATCCTTACCAAGTGAGGACTAGTTCTATTTAAACTTTCTAACATATGGGGGCACCTGGGTGGCTCAGTCGGTTGAGCGTCCGACTTTGGCTCAGGTCATGATCTCACTGTTCGTGAGTTCAAGCCCCACATCTGGCTCTGCGCTGACAGCTCAGAGACTGCAGCCTGCTTCGGATTCTGTGTCTCCCCCTCTCTCTGCCCCTTACGCCCACTCACGCTCTCTCTCTCTCTCTCTCTCAAAACTAAACATTAAAAAAAAATTTTTTTTTTAACTTTCTACCATATGAAAGCCAAGTCCCGCACCTTGTACACAGTATCTACCGATATTAAAATTTTCACAAATGGGGATAGTATCACATCCATGTGGCAACATGTCTCTTAAAATTTAGCTGGTGAGTTCCCTACTACTCATACAGGAGTATAAAATAAACTCAAATATCAACAAACACCTATTAAAGAGAAAAAATCACTGGCTACAGTATGCATTAAAAAGACCTATTTATACTGTGATACATTAAGACACTGAATATGAATTTGTTGACAGAACTAAAGGTGGGATTCAGGACATACAGACATGTTTAAGGTACAGTAACTAACTGCTTTAATAAGGATTAACATCTCTCTTAAATAAATCACTGGATTCCACAAAACAAAAGCAAGGAGGAATCTCATTATCTGTTCCTTAGTCATAATCACAGCTAGGACCACTGATCACGTATAGTCTTTTGCTGTATGTGTCACAATCATGGAATAACTTCAATTTTTAAGTGAATTTCTTCTCACCTTTCCACAACAACGGTTACAAAAATGTTAGAATTTTTGATCTTTGGATCTTTACTCTTTGCCTGTGCTCTGCAAACTTCATAATCAACGAAACCCCACTTTTCTAGCTAAACTTCTCACTTGACAGACTCATCAGTTTCACTGTACTGTGCACTGTTGAACAAGTTTACATCATTCCTGAAATTATTTAGTTCCTAGATAACTGATCTACAAAAATGAAAGCACAGTTCAATAGCATGCAGGGATCCCTTCAATCACTAATATATTACTATAAACAGTTATTTTTGAAACTAAATTTACAATGGATAACAAAACTGAAGATTAAATGGTATTCAAAATCAATAATTATACAAATTAACTTTGCTGCTGACATTCCTCAAGAGGTAGTAGTTCTTATAATTAACAGGTGCTCTGAAACCCAAAGTCACAAGACTAAATGAGTGTTTCTCAGCTGATATTATAGCAGCCACTCAAAGCATAAAAGGATCTTCGGTCTTTTGTTCATGCGAGGTGATGAAAAGGCTTCTCTTACAGGCACTTTTACAAATGACGATAGGCTATTATCTCATAGAGTTTCAAAGAACCAAAGTAACATCACAGGCGTTATAAGTGATTATGACCCAAATCTGAAGCGAACAGATTGTTTTAATGGTTCTGTTCCTCACGGAGTGTGTGTTACTGGACACCGAAGTCAGCAATGGCTTTCGGAAGACTAACCCCTGCACTGTCACAAATCAAGTGGAAAGAATGGGTCCAACTTATAGGCAAATGGAGGCTATGAAACCCCCAGAGTCCACTTTGAAACGCAGCCCAGAGGAGAGCGCTGTCATGATCAGTATGTGTAGAAAAAAATCTACATCCCATCAGACGTATGCACTATGGAATTCCCAGGGAATAATTTTATTTAAATTGATGACCAAATTCATAAAGGAAACCAGAGGACCACATTATGGGCTAGAAGTCCATATTAACTCCATCTTTCTGACACACATAGGAGGCTCCTTCTGAATGGACTTTTACGGAGTTCAACATCACGCTAAAAAGCTGTAAGCAAAACACAGAATCTACCTTCTATAACATAACAGACAACATCAAGTGAAGACTCTCAGAAATAGGCTAACACAAGACATAGGAGTCTGACATCTGACTTACGGTTTATCAGTAAGATAACAACAATTCCAAGAGCTAGACATGTAAGAGAACACACTGGAAGATTCCGTTTATATGAACAAAAGAAAAGTAACAATCAGTGGTGAGAGAAGTCAGAATAATGATTCCCTCAGAAGGAGGGGGCAATCATTGACTGGGAAGAGGCATGAGGGAATCTTTTGGGATTCTGGTAAAGTTCTTTACCTAGATCTGGGTGGTCGATTACATGAATGTATACATATACACAAGTTTGCAAATGATGCACCTGAGTGTACTGAATACACTTTACTGTGTATACGCCTCAATTTAAAGTAACACAAAGAATTTAAGGAGTAAATGTAAAACAACAGAAAGTCTTCCCTCCAGATAAATACTTTACAAAGATACCATGTCTTCAATAGAGATACAGATACACACAAGATCCATTCAAATCTAAATTTAAAAAATCATAAGAACTCAGCACAAGCTGTTCTCTCTGCCAAATAGTGGTGAAGGTGTTGTCATATTTCATCTCATTCATAACAGATGGAGATGACAAACAGAAGTATTTTCGGAGAAAGACTGACAATGAAAGCTTGGCAGTGAAATTCTCATCCTTCGCTCATTAAGTACAATCACACAACGGTAGACTGGATTATTATTCAGCAAATATTCACTCCCTCCCCTGGGCCTTCACAGAAGAGGAGTCTTCCACTCCACTGATGTGGAGCCTGGCCACGTGACCTGACTGGTAGATAAGATGTTCAAGATACGTGACAGAACAGAGCCCTGGCATGTGTTTGCATATCTAGGTTTGCCCTCTTGAGCTACTGGCTTTTGTCACCAGAGGAGGAGATACACATGGAGCAGATCTGGACTCACACTGTAGTTTGGCACCTAAATTGGCCCAGTCTAGTTCAGCAGAATCCTAGACAATCTGCAAAGGAGTATATAAGAAATTAATGCTTGTTGTTATAAGCCACTGAAATACTAGGCAGTGTAACAGATACTGTGTTTTTCCTTCTGAGAGTAAAGAACTTACTCACTCCGTGCTAGATGTGCTATCAGCAGACACCCTCAGCTGTCACCTTTGGAATGATTTCAATTCAAGAAAGAATCGTCACCCAAGATCATGCCCTTTTCCTGGCACAGCCTTTATCCGATGATGCAGGAGTATACAGGCTCAGCCTGTCACCCGGATTTGGGACAACTCTTTGAAGTGTCCCGTGGAGTCAGCGGAGGCTTCGGGTATCATAGCCTACTTTCTTCCCCTGTTCAATCCTGCCTCCATCCCTCCTCTTCCACAGTTTTTTTTTTTTCTTAAATTTTTTAATGTTTATTTTTGAGAGAGAGAGAGAGAGAGAGAGAGACAGAGAGAGAGAGAGAAAGAAAGGACGAACAGGGGAGGGGCAGAGGGAGAGGGAGACACAGAATCTGAAGCAGACCCTAGGCTCTGAGCTGTCAGCACAGAGTCCGACGTGGGGCTCGAACTCACGAAACAGGAGATCATGACCTGAGCCAAAGTTGGACGTTTAACCAACTGAGCCACCAGGCACCCCCCACAGGTTTTGATTCCTAATAAATTTCCTACATACAAATCTCTATCTTAGCCTGTTTCTCAGAAACCCAGCATGTAACATGTAGCATTATTTTGACAACAGCTAACTGATATATATACATATTCAATCCTAACTATTGATTTGGTCAGAATGTTACAAAAACTTTGCATGTGTACCTCCAGCACAAATTATAGCATTCAGAACACTAAATCTACTTCAGAATTAATGAGCATATGGTTTTTCCCAAGCAG